TGCTGCTATCAAACTGCTCCTGCAGGACCTTGATCTGGTTCTCCACCTCCTGAAGCTTCTTCTGCTTCTCTTTTAGGGTTGCCATGGTCACATCCAGCTCTTCCTGCACAAATGAGTAAGCACAGATGAAGAGGGAAATGATAGGGTAATATCATACAGGAATCATTAAAGCAATATTTGGAAGTACTGTACGTGTTGGTCTGGTTTTTATTTCTCATCATTAAGTTTAGTGCACATATGCCAAACCCACATCAGACTTAGTGCTGTAACGTACTCTGGCCAAAATCTTGACTGCTCCTTAAAGCAATAAGCTGCATAGCTCTAGCTACAGCACTACAAGCCCATAGAAATCCAGCAATGCGTTTGTCTTGAAAATAAGAGTCTCCTGCCTTAAATTTTCTAAAATTCCCCAATAATCTGAAACAGCGAGTGGAATAAAACACTAATGAGAGAGCTGAAGACCACCACCAACACTTGGCTTTGCAGTGACCCATCTTAGACTGGGTAGCTTACAAACTTCCATTATATAAACTGTGATTCATGATCCACTAGTGAACAGCGTCAAACTGATCATCTCCTTCTTTAGACCTCATCATTCTATCACGATCTGGTGCATTGGTAATATGTTTGCTAAAGACACTAAGTTGCTTTGTGTTTATATATAGCAGGTAACACAGATGACACTAACTCTTTCTTATGTTTATGAAGAAGAAATAATGTTTAGATCAACATTTTACTTAAATGTCAGCAGTCATAGTCCCACAAATGCAGATATTTTTTGTCCTGGTTTAGTGTAACACTATTAACAAACCAAAAAAACCCAAACTATTACAAACTATTTCATATCTAAATTATATTTTCCCCCTTAACCTGTATGATGTGGCTAAAATTAACACAACTCTGATAGATAATGTTAAAACCCTAAATCAGGGCTCCCACAGGACAAACCTGTTATTTTTTTTACAGGTTGAATCCTTATAATTACTTTGAAACACTTAATAATTTACATTTGAATAAGCCTGTAAGAACATACTTTTCCTTAGTGAGGTAAACCTAGAGCATGAATTTATTTCAGCTTCAGCTAACAATGACGGCACACCAACAATGCACTCTGTAACTGACCTGTGCCTTGGCCAGTTTTTCTCTCTTGGGGCCAACCTCTTTGAAGACTCTCGAGTACAGATCCATAGCTCTGACCCACATGCACATGGACCTGCACGCCCTTGATACCTTTTCCACCTAACAAGAGCGACACAATAAGAAATTAGGCCAAGCAAAAACATACTGAAACATTTCAGAATTTCTGATAGGTGATACTATCTGAAAAACCACATGTTTAGTCATAATAATACAGTAAGAAGTTGTTATTTTCACTGGCTCTGTTTGTACGTTGACATTTTTTAATCTGCCAAAATATCCAAACTGACCTTTTCAGGCATGAAATTAGGGTCATTGATGTATTTTTGTAGTTTCAGCAGGATCCTAGGTTTGATATTGTCCTTGTCATATTCTGTCAGACGCCTGAGAAAGTTGGGATCGCCCAGTAATTGCTTGGCACTTAGCCAGTCTGGTCTGTTAGGAGAGAAGAAAGTTAGTGAGACACTGTTAACAAATAAGGACTAAAGAAATGTCACGGTTGCTCGATACATTAGACTGTGACATTAGTTGATCTTTTCAAAGTACTGAAAATTCTTTGGGCAGAGCAGCAAGTGTCAAAATCCTAAAGAGGATATGATATTGTGAAGATTTAATTCAGATCAACAATGCAGTAGATTAGTGAATGGTGAAATCTGCAAGTTATCTCTGTTTAATGTTAAACGCAAAATACATAAGATTGAAAAAATAGTCCCGGTGAAGTGAAGGAGTGATAAAGTTATTACATTATTGTGATTATAAAGAGTTGCACTTTTAGAAACCATCACCAGTGCAGGATGGATACCTAATAAAAGTATATCATGTTAAGAAGCTATTTATTTATCTATTATTTTTTTAAAGAAAATAGTGCACACTCACTTGCAATCAAGCAAGATGCAGACAGACTCCATGACAGTCATCACTAGGGCTGGGGGTTTAGTGAACACCTTGATCTCAGAGATGTCAGCCTTGTCAAGAGATCTGAGGGCCTGGTTGGCACTCTCTAAAGCTGGCAGAGCCTGATCTAAGTCCCTCTGTGCGTCATCTGCAATGGCCTGGGTTTCTTCAGCCTTAACTCGGGCCAGTGCCTCATCTTCTTTTACTACTTTACGTACCTGTGACAAGGAGAATTATTTTAGTTATGCTCATGAAGTAATGACAAAGAGTTACCATGATTTATAATTGAAATATAGGCAACATCAGACACGTTTTTGAAAGTTTTGTGATAAAACACAGACAGACCTCATCAGCCTTCTCTTGATCTACAGCCAATTTCTCCATGAGGGCATCAACATCAGTAGATTTTTGTTTGAGGACTGGCTCCAGAGCAGAAAGGTCCACCTTCATTTTGTCTACAAGCTCATTGGTCTCCAGCAGCTTAGTGACACCATTCTTTACACGATCCCTGGCCTATACGGTAACACACGCATAAATAATTATCATGTTTGACATAATCAACATAACAACTCATGATGCATTACCGTCACAGTAAAAATAAAACTGACTATTAGCACTCACCACCAGCTAATGTATCTAGCTGCTTTTTTTCCTACACAATATCAGGTAACAATTCATCATCAACAACATATGTGAAAAATTGCCCATAATTGTGTTGACATACCAGAACTAACTGCTGTCTCTTGTTGCCAAGCATGCTGAGGTAGAGGTTGATAAGCTCTAGATAGGAGGTAGGTGTGGTGTAGTACCGGCGTCTCAGCTCTAAGTAGAAGCGCTCAGCCATTTCAGCGACACTAACGTGTATCTCGACACACATCGCAGAGATGTTCTGTTTTAGCTTCTCATTGCCAAAGTCCACATTCTGGAAAAAGGCCTCAGAGACAGAGAGCAGCGCCTCCCGGGGCCACTGAGCACCAGAACGAACAGCGAAAGAGAGGAAAGTGACAAAAAGTTAGCAGCGAGGACAACGATATGTAGCTTTGACCTTTAGCTCCTGTCAACTGAACAGTTATTGAGCAGAGCGCCAGCAGATGGACATAAAACATTTATTTAAAAACAGAAATTGTAAAAAGTTTTTTTTTAACTAGAAAATTTAAAAGAAGCTTAAAAAATATAGAAACTACAACTTCCATGACGATGATGAAACTTTTTTTTTCTATAAAAAGAGAGGAATCAGAATAGGACTACCTTAAAGCTATAGATTATGAAAAAGAATTCAATCTAAACGGACGGTGGTGTTATAAAAAAGGGTTATATTGGAAATATTTTACATGAACAAGAGTGATTCCATAGACAAGGGTAGTGACGTATATACTGAGTGATTCATATATATCAGAGAAACAGAGTTATATCAGCATACCTGCACAAACCAGTCAATAGTGCAGCAGTTAACCAGTGAAGGAAACATGCGACATCGGGACCTGAAAGCATCGCCCACAGGGCTCATACACAGCACAATGTGTAGTTTTTCTTGTACACGGGAGATGAAAAACTGGAACACCTGAATGCACCATCACAGACATGTAAAAAAGACACACACACATAGAAGATCACAACAGGCAAATAGCATCAGCTCTCATGTGTTCTTTCCTTTTGCCTGGGACACTGATTTTAACTGTCTGCTTTTATACAGTCTGTGGAAATTTTAGCCCATAGTGGGAATCTCAGATGCTTTGCTAGGTGTTTATTATCTTCTTTAAACAACTCACAGAGGTCAGGCTTCATCATACTTCTCTTATATCAGAAATTAATGTTTAATTTCATTTTGTTTATCTTGTTGCAGATCTATGTACTGTTGCTGAAAACACTAAGTGATTATATCTGGTAGTTAAAGAATGATTTCCTACATTTAAGAAAAGCCACTCGATTAGAAAACAACACTTTTCAGGATATGAACATTCATGACTCCACGTTCTTCCCACTTTCTAATTTGTTAAAATTTTGGGTAGTATCTGAAAACAAAGTTCTGTGTCGAGATTGTATTTGTTAATTTTTGTTGACTGTAACTTTATCCCAACTTTCACAGAAAATTTTAATTCATTTATTTTCTCACAAATAAAGTAGATATACTTGACACTGTATTTAATCTTTACTGCTTAAATGACTCATGTTTTCTACACTTTATGTATTTACATAAGTACCGTACATACCTCATCCCTGCTCTCTTCACTGATTCCAGCCTCTCTGGCTTTAGGGCGGGTAGCAGCAAGTACTTGTTCTAGCTCGTCTTTTTCAAAAAGGTTAGGCACCTCACCCGAGTTTAGCATGTTGTTTATATCCTCCAAAAATTCTTCTACTACAATCTACAACAGATTTAATAGTTAAACACAGTAAGTACACAGAAACTTAAATACTGTAAGTACTTTTGTTGCAATCTTTTTGCAATACCTGAGTATCTGTAAAGAGGAACACCATATCTTTGCCCTCCACACCAGCCATCTTGTAGAGCCTCCTCAAGTCTTCATGGAAGCTGTCATAGTTGTACCCTCTGCTCAATTCAATCTCAAAGCAGCGGTACCCACACATGTGGGCTGCCAAGCGAGTGAGTGACTGCTTGCCTGTACCTCCCACCCCGACTAACAAGGCATTGCCTCGCTCCTGGCGAATCATACGAGCAATCCTAAAAAAATAATACGATTATTTCATTCCATATGGCACATGCATCGTGTCATTTAGAAAATGTACTGCTAGCTATAATCAGATCAAATCACTTGATATGACACTACCTTTAAAAAAAATCAGAAGATGTGCAGTTAAATTTTATTACTGATGTTAAAATAAGAAAGAGAGTGCCTGCATTTTACTTATGTGGAAGGTATGTCTACTAATTAGACATGCAAGTAATTATTATTATAGATAAATGATCCTTACAGTCCATATCACAGTCATTGCATGTTCTATTTTAAAAACCAATAAAACACAATCACTCGTATTGCTACTGCCTTTGGGTGACTCAGTTTGTCCCAACTACAGCTAAAATAAATCAACTACCTGTTAAGAAACTA